AAGCTCAGTGGGCTTGGAGGTCCAGGTATTCAGAGTCATCTAAATCCATTCAAATGTCCCCATTCCAATTCATAGCGTCCTACTTTTTCCTAACTAATGTGCTTTCACATAAGAGGCCAAGTGAGGCTGGGAATTTAACTTAAGTTGTATTTTGGCAACCTGGTGCCTCTGACATTTAGTTATACCTGTCCTGCAGGTACAAGAGGTAAGGCATTCATTTAGGGCAGTGCTTCTCAAAATGTGGTCCCTGAACCAATATCATTAGCATCACTTTGAAACTTGTTGGAAATGCAAATTCTTGGGCTCCACCCTAGATCTACTGGATGAGAAACTCTGGAGACTGGGGACCCAGCAAGCTGTACTTTAACAAACCCTTCAGGGAATTCTTATGCACGCTGCAGCTTGAGAACCATTGTTTTAGGGTAATTCTAAAAGTTCTCTGATTCTCTGTTCACAGAGTTTAAGAATTTTAAATGTGGAGCTTGCTCTTTTCTTTTTTTTTAAACTCTCCAATGCAGTTAAAATTAGCCAACTTGTCCCACTTTTCTTTTATTCCTCATTCTTACCGTAAGCGGTTGTTCAGCAGCTGGTTGGTCTGCCAAGACTTCCGTGTGACAGTCCTCCACTTTCAGCAAGCATTACTTATGTCTGTTGTTAGTAGGATTATCATTGCTTTCAAAACCACCCAGGTGAGATAACCAATTCCAGCAGTTTGTTTCCTTGAAATTCTGTTGCATGCAACCCTACCTGATACTAATTGGCTAATCATTTAGAATTTCACTGGAGAGAACAGAATCCAATGTAGCAAGTTTAAACAATTGATTTATTACTGACAGAGAAAGATCTAGTTGTTTGGGGCATGAATTTAATACAATATTTGGCAGTTTCTTTAGGAAAAAAATACAACATTACAAATATAAAATTAAGCATGAAATTCAAAGTTTATTCATAGTAAGAAAAAATGACACGAAATTATGAATTCTAAAAAGCTGACATTTACCGCATCACAAAAATCCAGAAAAATTATATACTCTTTTTATTAATCAAATACTTAATGCACCTTTACAGCATTTTCCCTATATATTTTTTTGCCTCATACACTCTTTGATTTCCTCTTCATTTGATAATTTTGTAGTATCACTTTTGTAGAGAGAATAAAAAGATAATTCAGTCTTTGTGGTGAGTAACTGAAATTTTGTTTTATTACTGATAGTTTAGAAAATTCCTTTCATCTTTACAACTTATTATTGAAATGCCATGTAAATTTTTAGAATTATTGTTAAAATTGGGAAAACCAATGTCAAATCTCTTTTTCATATCAACAATAAGATTTGGAAGTTTTCTACAGATGAGCTTCTGGCTCAGTCAATTTTAAACTTTTTTAGTCTCCACTACCCACTCTTCTGGTGCTAAAACTGTAGGACACCTTAAGACTTCAATATGATCTCTGGATCTGTCCCCTCATGTCACAAAGCTGGATGAGTCCACACAGTGGGCATTAGGAGTGATTGCAACCCCAAAAGTATGTCTGTTAACCAAATCTAAATATACATCCAACTCAATTTCTCCTTAACAGGATCCCAAAAATGTCTAAGGCCACTCCATCAAAACTGGAAACAAATGTAACTGAGAGGAAGTTTAAGTGGAAAGAGACAAGAGTCTTTATTTACAATAGTAAAATATCTTACTTTTGCAATTTTGGTAAAAACACATGACCAGCCATGGGCCGATACAATGAGGGTCTTTGAAGCTTAAGCTCCATGGTAAATCTTTCTCTAATGAGGTATTCAGTGAAGTCACTAGTAGGATGAAAAAATAGACTCTCAGTTGAGCTTTCAGGTATGACATCCAAAGCGACACTACAGAATGGACCACTCAGGCCATCTCTTTTATGATCAGGAAGCTGCCAGCCATAGACCCAAACCATCCAGTATCCTGCGCAGGAAGCTGCCACAATCAGGAAACGAGCACGTCATCAAGAAGCAGTTGCTGCCGCACAGACCCACAGCAGGTCTGCAATGATTCTCACTGACAAAATGGCTGCACTAGCCCTGCCTCTCAAACCTCACAGAGTGACTGGACATTAGGACCCCTGACATCGCTGTAGAAAAATCCAGTACCTCTAGGACTGTGCGTATCAACAGCCGCAGCAGAAATAGCAGGCGTGCAGTGTCCATCTTACTCCCATGCTGAAAACCTGCCATGATTGCCTCTAACTGGCCAAACCTAAATCAGTTGTTGATCTCTTGCCTGAGAAATGTAGTTTTTAGATACTAGTCTCCAGGAGGCACACAGGAAAGTGTGGAATAGATACTGCTCACCAATGTACTGAATGCAAAACAAGACAGGTAATAATAGCTAACATTTAATGAATACTTACAATGCTCTCAGCCAAAAAAAGTGAGACCAAAAAAACCCCTAACTGTTCATCAAAAGGAGAATAGATAAATTAATAAACTGGTTTATTCAGATAATGAAATACTATTCAACAGTTAAAGTAAATGAACTGGAGCTACAGAGATCAACAGGAGTCTATCTTAGAAGTGTAATGTTGAATTCATGAAAAGCAAATTGCAGGAGGATTCATAAAGAATGATGCAGTTCATATGAAGTCCAAAACAGAGGAAAGCTATACAAGTAGATCTATATGTAATTAAGGTATAGAAATGGGCTTGGGGATAATCAACACCAAATTCCTGATGGTGCCTCCTGAATGATACAAGGAAACGGTTACTGGAGCTCTTTGATCGTGTCCCGGCTCACTGCTGTATGGCTCAGTCCCAGGGGACACCCTTCACACAGTATACAGAATGCAGAATACAGAATACAGAACATCCTCCCAGAGAATCATTCACATTCCACTCTAAGAAGAACAGTGCCTTCTGCAATCACTCAACATGGCAACCCTGAGTATACTCAGAAGGTTTTATTGTTTTTTAAGCAGGGCGAGATGGGTATACCAGTGTTCATTATAGTATTTTATACAAATTTGTATGTATAAGAAAGGTTTTATAACAAAATATTCTATGAGTCACAATATGAAGTTCTAATTCCCATCTACGAAATTCTATGTAATCTGACCTGGGAAAAATCATCTTTCAAACCTACGAATTTGATAGTCAAACTTCACTTTGTGGCTTTCGTTCTTAGGATTTCATACTGGAAGACTAGACATACCTTTTTTCAATGATAGTCCTAATTTTGGCAGTTCTTTGGCATTGATGGGCCAAAAGAGGCTAAGAGAGTTAACCGTAAATGTGTCATGAATCATCTAGCGTCAATGAAAATTTTTAAGAACTGATTCATAGCACATATACTAAGCACTTTGAAGTCATTGATTTCCACTGGCATTATTGCTTGAACTCAGGATTCTGATAGTTGAATGACAATTTTTTTAGTTTTTTTTTTTTTTCGCACCTTGGTCTGAAACACAACAACAGTAATCATTACTAATATTTTTTGAGTACTTACTACCTGCTAGGCACTGTTCTAAGTGCTTTATATACAATAGTTCTTTTAAACCTCACAACAATTTTAGGAGGTATCTTCATTTTACAGATGAAGAAATTGAGTAGTAGAGGTTAAAGAACATATCCTAAGTCATATAATCAAAAAAGTGATAGGGCTGAATCCAGGTATAGCTGATCCAGAAGCTTGTGTAAATGTTCCACCTCTAAGACACACTTCCCAAGTGCTCTTTGATAGCTCTTCACTGGAGTGCTGCTGAAGGAGATGCCCCTCTTCCCCCTAACCCCCGCCTTCCAGATTTATGTACCTTAAATGTTTAATACCGTAGAAGATGTAATTTCCATCCAGGGAAGAAAGTCATTCTAGAATATCAAGTTGAAGATTAGTCAGTGGATGGAAAGAGGAAATTCTAGTGTTACTCTGGAATTTGGTAAAATTTTTACACACCCACACCCACACATATATTAAATTCTCTTTAAAGTGAGGATTTCTGAGGATTAATTTCATATTATTTACATAGTCTGGTGAATATAGCCTTTTAAAAATTCCAAACCTATCTCTCATCTGTTTTGTGGTTTGTATAGCTAATTGTTTGACCACTTCTGAAATTACTCCCCAAAGCTACATCGAGCAGCTCACCTCAAACATTACTATCTAGTGCATTTGTCAGAGAGAAAAACTCCTGGCAAGTAGCAAAGTGTATTCATGGAAATGGAAAGTGTTTTCATGGAAATATTATGTTTTCAAAAAACCAACAAATACAAGCAGTGAGACCTTGGGTCCTGGGTCAAAGATTTGGGGTATTTTTGTGCATCGTTTTCATGGGTGTGGGTCAAAGGCTGTCTATTTTAATAGCTCATTTTCGAGAGATTAAAAATGGTTTCTCTGAATGTTGACAGAAAAGGAAAACTCACAGAGGCCCTTTCCACTCAACCTTGGCCCAGCAGCAGTAGCCAGGGGGGTTAGAGGTTGCTGCAGCAATGACCTGTATTACATAATGCCTCCCATCTGTCCACAGATGTGTGAGTTTGCTCAAATGTTTTATTAGATTTTTATTACACTTTCATACAGCTCCAGCCCATCTGCATTTGCCAGTCTGGGTGCAATTTCTAAAATACCTAATCCATTAGCTATTCAATATAAGCAGTTAAATATTGAGATATGTTCTCTGACCCAGTCCCTCGTGCCATTTGGGAGATACTAACACATGTTTTATGGATCGGGTAGGCACTACAGACCTCTGGATGATGATCATGATGATGATCATGATGACAGTGATGTCTGTCTGGATCAGCTTGGTGCCAGAGGTTCTCAATGAAAGTTAGTGTTCTGTGGTTGGTAACATTAATCTTACTCCAATCCACTCATAATTTGATCCATAAGGAGAGAAGACAGAAGGAAAACAACAGCAACGAAAACAAAACAAAACAAAAATAGTTCACACCAACTCTGTCTAAGTTCAGGCTGCTATAACAAAAATACCGTAGAGTGGGTGGCTTAGAAACAACAGACATTTATTTCTTATAGTTCTGGAGGTCGGAAGTCCAAGATCAAGATGCCAGAATGGATGGGTTCTGGTGACTGCCCTCTTCAGGGTCGCAGACTGCTGACTTCTCGTGTATCCTCATGTGGCAAAGACCTGAGAGAGGGGGAAAGCTCTCTTGTGGTTCTTATAGAAGCACTAATCCCATTCACAAAGGCTCCTCCCTTATGACCTCATCTAGACCTAATTACCTTCCAAAGGCCCTCCCTCCTAATACCATCTCATGGGGAGGTAGGGTTTCAACATATGAATTTTGGGGGAACACAAACATTCAGTCTATAGCAAACTCCACGTACATTTTTTTACTAATAAAAGTGATTTAAGTGTATTTTTTCTTTGCAACTCCATGAATAGCTTGGCCTAGAGACAACTGGGCTAAGAATTCTCTCATTCTGATGCCTAGGATAACAGCACCTTCATCAACGTGAGATGTCACTACCATTTACAGCTTGACAAGCCCAGTATCAGAGAGTGAGACCCTTTTTACTCTCCAAAAGAAGAGCACCACATCTATTTTGCTTACATCCCAGCTCCCAGCATGATGCTGAGCGTGCAAGGGGACCTAAATAAATATGTACTAAAGAGATGACGCAACAGGTATAGATTTGTATTGGGTGTGTCTTTTCCAGTTGGCTTATAGTTACTAAATGCTTGCTGACTGAATAGATTTCTAGTCTACTGTCAATTTTATATTTTGTAGTAGAATTTGAGTTAGTCATAACTACCATTTGTCGTAAAAAATGCAATCTTGGAACTCCTCTGAGATCCTGAGAAAAACTTTCTATTGCATATTAGATAATATGGCTATGAATAATAGTGGCTTTCTTAGGCTGAGTTATGCATATGATTAGTTGGAAGGTTCTGTGTACTAAAGCTGGATGATTTTCGCTTTTTGATTTAGGGATAGGATTTGTAGGAGACTAATTGTACTCCTTGACTTAAACTGAGAAAGCTTTTGAGTTTTTAATATCCATTTCTGGCAGCCCTCTATCAATGGATGGAGCTTTTCTACTTTCACAGTTGCATACGCAACTGTTCCATTCAGATGCCATTTGTGAATATAATACCTTTTCAAGTTGTTTGTTCCAGTCCAAAATGTGTTTCACATATATTGGAAGCTCAAGAAATATTGTCCTCTCTTTTATATTTTAGCGTGTGCAAAATTTATTGTGGTGTTATTATGTGATTCATTATTTCATTTTTATTTAGAAAGAAAACAACAACATTGAAGACATCCTGAAATAGCATTCATTTGGCAGGTAGGTCCCTGGCTTTCTAGTTCTGATTCCATGCTCTGTTGTGCCAAATTCAGTCAGAAGAGGAGAAATGGTTTGCAGGTGTCATGGAATTCCAGTGTTTCACTCGCATTGGGTAACCCTAGGAAGGAGAATTTCCATACATGGAGCCAATGTTGGTTTGTCCAAAGAAAGCATCCTTGAGTCTCAGGCTGAAAATAAGGTATTTGGTTGTATGAGAGGATGAGCCCAGCAGTTGGTAACCCAGCAGGAGATTCTTCCTTGAGAAATTGTGATTATTTTCACATGTTAGGAAAGAGACAAATGAATATCATTTTCAAACCTCTATCACACTAAACACACTAACCAGAAATGCATCTACCTACATCATTTTAAAAGAAATCCAATGGGGCTTTGACAGCATGTGAGCTATTTCCATTGACCTTCTTTCAGTGAATGTTTCTCACACTTATTTGCTCTCTATTTTCATGTTTATAAAATGTGTTCCCAAGCCCTTTAGGATAAAATCAACAATAGTGCCCAGGGCTTCAGCTAAAGATTCCCAGTGGGAGGGTCTGAGTCTTTTGTTCCGGAGGATCTAATAGAGTGCGAAGCTGACACAGAAATGGGAGGACCATTCAGCTAAAATTAAAGTCTTTGTCCCTTCATTAGTTGAACTTGAACTTCACATTTCTGAAGTTCTGCTAGGTTCCTTTCTCTAAAATTCTGATTTAATCAAGGTGAACAGGGAAGCTTGTTAAAATCTTTCTCTCTTATTTTTAAAGAGATTGCAAAAAAAAAAAAAAAAAATCCTGTATGTTTGGGCCAGCAAACTTTTTCCTGATAATTTTCTTTAATGAAATTTTTGGGAAATTGACCTGAATCTTGAGTATACATTATTCTTAATCATTAAAAAAAAGTTTGTTTTTTAACATTCTGATAGAGACTTCATTTTATTTTATCAGCTTATTGACTTTCTCAGTCCCATTGGGAAAGGTGAAGGGTCACCAGCTGCGCCTTTTATATGATTAATGAGCTAATGTGATTAAATAAAATTTATTTTTATTGCCTTGATTTGGGGGAACTATTGAAAGTGGGAGGAAACGTAAGATTGTAAGTTTTATTATTGATCTCCTATCCTTCATATCAGACTTACTGTATCTTATTTCTAATATGAGCTCATTTACTTTCTTCAGTTAGCAGAAAAAAGGGGAGAAAGTTAAAATACAGTGGTTGAGGGTATGCAGATAAGTGGCTCTGGCATTTCTGTGATCTTGATAACGCAATTCTTCTATATTTCTAAATTGCAGCAAGAACCTATTGCCAAAGCCGGTGAAACTTTGTCAGATTCTAATGCAACAGATTCTAACTATGAGGTTGTATTTTTCCTTATCTTTGAGAATGGAAATTTCTCTTTCTCCCTCCCTTACTGATCGAGTCCTTAAAACATATGATCTCAGTCCTTCTCTGTTATCTTTCTAAGTGAAGAATGGCGAAGAAAATTCTAATCAACTGAAAAGGAAATTTCTTTTCAAATTTTTTGAAGTTTTATTGTATCCTTTGCATGACATGGAACTCCCTACATTACCTAACTCTGGATATGCAAATTCTTGCTACTCACAGCAGGAGTTAATAAAGATTCCATAAGACCCTCTGATTTTAAGTGAATTAGACATGTAATAACTGTCGCTGTTTTATTACTCTGATCAGAGCAGGAGTTTAAGGTGATGACAGTGAGTAGGGGGAAGGAACTATGAACGCGCCATCGGGCAAGTTAGCATCAGATTCAGATTTTAAAAAGTGCAATTACATACAAACACTGACTTATCCTAAGCCAAGAAACAAACAAACAAACAAAGCACTTCAGAAAATTCTTAGGGGATACCTTCTATGTGCAGAGCCCAGGACAGAGGACTGTGAGCATAAAATGATGAATAAAGCATATGATCTGATCTCAAAGAGCTTACTTTTAGTGAGGAAAAGATACTGGCTTATAAGCAGTAGCAGGAGGCAAATTCTTCCATTTTCCTTTTTTAGACTTCTTCTCTGATTCTACCCAGAGTGTCAAAAATTCAGATGTCTACAGAGAGCAGGCAGGTAAATAAAATTAGCAAAACCAATGAGAACAGTGGCTAATTGAAGGACATGTGGTCATTATAAAGGTAGCCATTACTTCTCGCTTTCCTCTGATTATTGCTGAGTGGAAACTGATTATTGCTCAGTGTTGCAATATCTTCTAATTTTTAAGAGAAGCTGGAAATTGATTTTTTTTTTTGGATGAAATCTCCCAGTTTTTTTTTTGAGGAAGATTAGCCCTGAGCTAACATCTGCTGCCAATCCTCCTCTTTTTGCTGAGGAAGACTGGCCCTGAGCTAACATCCGTGCCCATCTTCCTCTACTTTATATGTGGGATGCCTGCTGCAGCATGGCTTTCCAAGTGGTGCCAAATCTGTGCCGGGGATCCGAACTGGCAAACCCTGGGCTGCTGCAGCGGAATGTGTGCACTTAACGTGTGCGCCACTGGGCCGGCCCCTCTCCCAGTTTTTAAATGTTGTCAGCTAACACTGTTTTTAAAAACATTGTGCAGGGCAAACAAAACTAATTTGTTGGCTCAGCCAAAAACAGGCTGCCATTTGTGACCTCTATTTTTCTCCCGGTCTTCTGGTTGACCTTGTCCATTTCCATGGGCTTTATGCTTATAATTTATAAATTAGATGTGTCTTGATAGCCATTAGCATTAGCTGATCCCACTTGGGTAACGTTTGAGGGTATCTCTTAGTCTCCACTGTTATCCTTCCTGCCCTGAGGAGGTGTTGGTTCAAGTATCAATCTTTGTGGAGCTGGACTGCAAGAAGTGTGTACAGGATGTAGATAGCATGGAATAGAGTTTGCTGTCCCAGTGACAGAGCACTGACATCAACCCCAGCTTCAGCTCGCAAGATGTGGCTGGCCAGGAGGCCACTCTCGCTCCAGGTACTGAGAAAAGTCTGCTGATGCTTCCAGTACCCTTTGACCAAAGTGTGCATTCCTAAGATGACCTCAATGTGTATAGCCCTCAATTTTCTCTCATATGTTGTACTTCCCCCAAGTAGACTCCTCAAATTCCTCAGAAGTTATAGTTAATAAATCCCAAATCTTCAGCCTTCACCATTTTTGTGAGCTCTAGGCCTGCTGCACACCTCTGTAACTGGACCTGTCTAAAATGGGATTTGCAAAATCTTCTCTCTCAAATACATTCCTTTGACGTTCTCTCCTTGGCGAGTTCTATCACCATCTCTGTTTGTGCAATCAGGAGATATCCTCCTGGATTGTTTTCTCATCTCTGTACCTAATCGTTCGGTAGGTCCTGATGCTTATGTCTTCTAACCTTCGTCCTGTACATCCCACAGCTATCGCTTGAACTCAGACCTCCATCATTTCCTGTACAATGGCAGCCTACGGTCGTCTTTTCTCCAAGCGAGCCATCCTCTTCTCTGCTGCCAAAGACTTCTTCTAAAATGCACTTCTTATTATGTTTCTTCCTTGATCAAAAACCTTTAGTGGTTGGTCCTTACAGTTTTCAAATTCAGATGCCCTAGCTTGGAATACAAGCCCTTAACATGGCGGCTTCAGTCTTCTTCGGTTGTATCTTCCATGCCTGAACTATGTATCTGACTCTACTGCTGCACCAGACAATTTGCTTTTTCTTAAATGGCTTAGGCACGTGAACATTCCTGTGTTGTTGTACCTGCCATTCCACTGCCTGAAAGGCTCTTTTTGTGTGTGGGGCAATTTCTCACACTTGAGAAGAATAATTTCTTTAGAAAGCCTCAGAGGGGCTGGCCCCATGGCTGAGTGGTTAAGTATGCGCGCTCAGCTTTGGTGGTCTGTGGTTTCACTGGCTCAGATCCTGAGTGTGGAAATGGCACTGCTCATCAGGCCATGCTGTGGTGGCGTCCCACATAGCACAACCAGAGGCACTCACAACTAGAATATACAACTATGTACTGGGGGGCTTTGGGGAGAAGAAGGAAAAAAGAAAAAAAAAGATTGGCAACATATGTTAGCTCAGGTGCCAATCTTAAAAAAAAAAAAAAAGATTTAAGAAAGCCTCAGAATTCCACAGGAGAGTGAAAAGTTTTCTTCTCAATATTGATGTATACTGCCTGGCGCATGCCTCTGTTATTGGATCTAATTTTTTATTATATATATATTATAATTTTTATAAATGCATCAATATCTTCCATGATTGCACTATAATCACCTTTTGGGAGGGGCCCAACTGCTTTGAGAATCTGGGTTTTTTTTTTTTTTTTTGGTGAGGAAGATTGACCCTGAGCTAACATCTGTTGGCAATCCTCCTCCTTTTGCTTGAGGAAGGCTGGCCCTGAGCTAACATCTATGGCAATCTTCCTCTGTTTTGTATGTGTGTCACATGGCTTGACAAGTGGTGTAGGTCTGTGCCTGGGATCTGAACCCATGCACTCCGGGCTGCTGAAGCGGAGCACACTGAGCTTAACCACTACACCACTGGGCTGGCCCGCTGCTTTGACAATCTGATGAAAACCATGAAGTCCACTTCCCCAGAGAAAAAACAGTTGAGTATACGTGCCAAATCTGACGTATAATTTCAGAGAAATTAAGATCTCTTTAAAGTCCATCAGTGGGTCCCAGTTTAAAAGAACTTGTCCAAGAAGATGAGTCCTTGGAGGGCATAAATGACCACATTTTTCCGTCTTTTTATTATACCTGGGAGTTGTATTTTTATCTATTACCGTAATAGTCCTGCTTAACAAACCACCCCAAAACTTAGTAGCTTAAAATAATAACCATTCATTTAGCTCACAATTCTATAAGCTGGCAATTTCAGCCAGGCTCCACTCTGTGGCTCTTCTGCTCTTAGCTCAATCTCCACATGCATCTGCTGTCAGCCACATGTGGGTCAGGCAGCTGTGCTTCAGAGCACTTGTTAGCCACCACCTGGAGCACCTCAGCTCTCTTCCCTGTGGTCTCTCATCCAGCCTGGACTTGTTCTATGGGGTAGTCCTGGTTCCCAGTGACACGGTGGAAGTAGGCAAGGTTTACTAAGGCCTAGGCTTGGAATTGACACACTATCACCTCTGCCACATTTTATTGACCAAAGAAAGTCCCAAAGCTGGTCCACATTCAAGAGATGGGAAAATAGACTCCTCTCCCTGATGAGGGAAACTGTAAAGCCCCATTGCAAAGAGCATATAGGCACAGGAAACAGGGCACATTTTGCAACTCCGGTACTACAGTAATATACTCAAAAAGTTGTTGAATAAAATTTGTTGGAAATGGGCCTCAGAGTACAGATAAAATTCAGATAAGATGAAAGAAATAAGGAAAGGCATTCTAAATAATGGGAATGACGTAACTTTATTGTGGTATGGGTTTTCCCCCCCTCTGCACTGGATTTATGTGAAGGAAGAGGTCAGATGAAAAGAATAATATAGTGTTCATTCACGTAATTATTTATTTACTTAAATATATCCCATCACATTCCAAAACAGATTTGAGAAAACTTATTTATGAACACAGAAGTATATTAAATATTATAAAGGAAAATATACATGTGCAGTATTGTTTCACTAATGAAGTGTTTTTTGGTTTTTTTTTTGCTGAAGAAGATTTGCCCTGAGCTAATATCTGTGCCAGTCTTCCTCTATCTTGTATGTGGGTCACCACAACAGCATGGCTGCTGGTGAGTGGTGTAGGTCAGCACCCAGGAACTGAACCCGGGCAGTCAAAGCAGAGTATGCCAAACTTTACCACTGGGCCACAGGGCCAGCTTAACTGCAGATATATACTTTGAATTCTATTATGGATAGCATTTAATACAAAGAATGAAAGAGCTACATAATATTTCTATGAATAATGAATTTCTAGTTGAAGGCAGAATTATACCTAAGGACGTGTGATGGATGAGAATTTATCTTGTGTCTCTTTGCCTTCATATAAAGAAGCCTTTCTCATATCTAACTTTGGTCTTCCATATTGCAGTTAGAGACCATTTACTTTTTAAACAAGGATTAATAGATTTCTTCTAACTGATTCCCAAGAATTTTTAGAACAATATTCTCTAAATTTTATATCCATATTACTAAAAAAATTTTTATGTATGAACAAAATTAATTTATTCATGAGTTATATATAGATACTACCTATTGTTATATTTGTAAAATACATGTAGAATAGAAATTAACATGGCTTAAGTAAGATGAGAAAAATAGTATTTTAAAAATTATACTATGTACTCTGTTTTATTTTTGGTATCAAAACCCTTTTTGCTCTCATTAGTGAGAGTTGTGTGATTTAATATTCTTCATTTTTTTTTCCAATTCATGGTTTAAAACTTTGTAATGTAGTAAATCAAAAATCTGGCTCACTTTTTGTATCTTTGACTATCTTATCGTAAGAAGATGCTTCACAAATATTTGTAGATCCAAATGGAAAGAACTCATCATTGGCAAGCCTTACTCAATCATGACATTCATTTTTATGTCCTATTTTTCAATTATGCAAAGACTTTTGTTGAAATCTGGATAAAAAATTATTATCTTCCCTAATGTCAACCAGTTGTTCTTAACAAACGAATCGGAAGTTGCTGATTTGTTATTGTTTTACCAATTGGATTCTAAACTATTAAAACTCTGATAAATTATTAAATAGCTTAAATTTCTATTTTTAAGTGTGATTGTTCATTTATGAAAATTTTTACAGGGCTACATTTGTATATTTATCTGCACCAACATAACCAGTGATGGAAATACTTTTAAATATGTTTCAAATGTTCTCCCCATAGCTTAAGCTTCTTTCAAAGAATAGCTATTTTTCAGTCATTGTAAAATGTCATCCTTACCTTGAAAGTAGATTTTGTGTGTGTGTGTATGTGTGTTCTTTGTTCTTTAAAAAGCCAGCAAACTTTTGAGTGCTACAAAATATTTTCATGGTTGCTGCATATCTCACTAGAAAATATTGTAAAACCTCTGCTATGTTTAAAAAAATCTTAATTGTAGTAAAGTTTACGTAACAGAATTTATCATATTAACCATTTTTAAGTGTATATTTCAGTAGTGTGAAGTACCTTCACATGGCTGTGTAACCAATCTCCAGAATGCTTTTCATCTTGCAAAACTCAAACTCTATAGCGATTAAATAACAAATCCCCATTCTCCCTTCCTCCAGCCCCTGGCTATCCCATTCTACTTTCTGTCTCTATAAATTGGCTACTCTAGGTATGCATGTAAGTGGAGTCATTCAGTATTTATCTTTTTGTGTCTGGCCTGTTTCACTTAGCATAATGTCCTCAAGATGCATCCATGTCATAGCATATATTAGAATTTCCTTCCTTTTTAAGGTTGAGTAATATTCCATTGTATGTGTATACCACATTTTGTTTATCCATTCATCTGTCAATGGACACTTGGGTTGCTTCCACCTTTTTGCTTTTGTGAACAATGCTGCTATGAACACAGGTGTCCAAATAGCTCTGCAAGACACTGCTTTTAATTCTTTTGGATGTATACTGGGAAGTAGAATTTCTGGATCATATGGCAATTATATTTTTAATTTTTTGAGGAACTGCCATTCTGTTTTCCATAGTGACTACATCATTTTACATTCCCAAAGACAGTGCACAAGGGTTCCAATTTCTCCAAATCCTTGTCAACACTTGTTATTGTCTGCTTTTTGATAGTAGCCATCCTAATGGGTGTGAGGTGGTTGACTCCTCTATATTTTAAAAGTCATGTTTTTATAAAATTAACCACATCAATGACATTTTATAGCATTTCATTGCAGTAGCTTGCCTATGAATGGTGGAACAAATATATTTCATTTGTGCTACCTCAGTAAACTTATCCCAGAAATCTTTTCAAACATTCAGTTAGGGGCCAGCCCCATGGCCGAGTGGTTAAGTTTGCATGCTCTGCTTCGGTGGCCCAGGATTTCCCTGGTTTGGATCCCTGGGCATGGACATGGCACTGCTGGTCAAGCCCTGCTGAGGTGGCATCCCACATGCCACAACTACAAGGACCCACAACTGAAAAACACACAACTATGTACCGGGGGGCTTTGGGAGAAAAAGGAAAAATAAAATCTTTAAAACAAAACAAAACAAAGAAAACTATTTCAGTCAACGTAGCTGCTCCATCAGTGGATACCCTTAGACAATTTTCTCTTAAAATATTGGTTTTCCTAAATTTACTATTGACATGGTAATGAAAACTCCATAAAGGTAAGATAGGTGCTCAATAAATATTGGTTGAATGACTGCTGAGAATATACTTTCTCTAGCATATATATACATTGTGATGCCTCCTCAGGTACACGTGTGCATGTGCACGTGCGCACACACACACATTAGTGTGTATTTAACTATTAAAAAAGGATCTAACAAGTACTATAATCTGGGACATGATAGAAACACTTATACTTTCATTCTTCTGTAAATCAAACCCCAACATTGCATAACATATCTTAATTCTTATTTCTTAAAACTAGTAATTTTTCTATGTTGAGGTAAGAATACACTTTTATTTGTTGCCAGATGGTTTTATGTATATTATTTTGCCATTTTAATATGGGAGAAGAAAAAATGAGGAGAACTCAATGGTATGTGACTTTTTGTATTTTGTTACTAAATAAGAAATCTCAAAAGAAGCTTCTACACTTCTATCAACAAGGTTAGGAAAATTTTTCAAATAATAGGTTGGGTATAGCATGACTTTAGACTGTACATAAAATTGTAGAAGCTTGTCTCCAGTTTGCTTTATGATTACCTAACTATTTTGCTAATTGTGATATGTTCACATTTTTATTAGCAGTGTTTCATGTATATCAAGTGAGGTTCATTATTATAAAAGTGGATATAAAAATGCTTTTTAAATGAACTTAAATTTTTTTGAAAATTTTTACTCTTTTTTTTAAATATGCGTTGCATAGAGTTTGCCATCTTAATCATTTTTTTTTAAGGGAATTTTTGCCCTAAGCTAACATCTGTTGCCAATCTTCCTCCTTATTTTTCTTCCTTTTTCCCCCTCAAAGCCCCAGTACATGGTTGTGTATAGTTGTAAGTTCTTCTGGCTCTTCTGTGTGAGCCACCACAGCACGGCTACTGACAGACAGGTGGTGTGATTCCACGCCTGGGAACCGAACCTGGGCCACGAAAGTGGAGTGCACCAAACTTTAACTCCTAGGCCATCAGGTCTGGCTCTGAAAAATTTTAATTTGATTTCTTTCCAGAAGTAATTTAATAGTCTTTTTTTTTTTTTAAACCTCACCCTATTGCTGACAAAGAGGTAAAAATATAAGAGGCTTTAGCTCTGAGTCTTTCTTTCTTTCTTTTTTTTTTTTTTGAGTAAGATTAGCCCTGAGCTAACATCTGCTGCCAATCCTCCTCTTTTTGCTGAGGAAGACTGGCCCTGAGCTAACCTCCGTGCCCATCTTCCTCCACTTTATATGTGGGACGCCTGCCACAGCATGGCTTGCCAAGTGGTGCCATGTCCGCACCCCGGATCCGAACCAGCGAACCTGGGGCTGCCAAAGCAGAACGTGTGCACTTAACCGCTGTGCCACTGGGCCAGCCCTGAGCTTTTCTTATTACAGGCTTGTGCTTGGATTATTAGTATTACCTTCAATTTGTGACTCCTTGGTAGGAATTTTTTTAGGTCACCTGTTCATTTTATGAGATTAAATTTCATTAAAATGGTTAAATCTATGTAATGGGAACATGTAGACTGCGATCTATTGCAAATCACTCAACGGATAAGGGGAACTGTGGTAGAGACTGCTGGCTGTCCACCACGATCCATTTTCCTCTTCTTGGGCTCATAATCGGGCTGTATTTACTGGCTTCCCTTGTGGTGAGGTGTGGCTAGAAGACTCAGTTCTAGCAATGGAAGGTGAGCTGAAACGAAGCGTGCCTCTTTTAGGCGGGGCCCATAAGAAACCTCCTAGGACTGATTCTCCATGCCCCTTCTTTCTTCTGGCGGGAAGAGATGCAGATGGCCGGTGCTGACCAGGAGCAAAAGTTGGCAGAGCTTCCTTGACCTGAATGCCTGAATGACTTGAGCTGGGCTGCTGATCTAACCACCGAAAGTGTTACCCGAGCAAGAAATAAACTTCTACTTCGCTGAGCCGCTACGCGTTTGGTCTGTTTATTACTGCAGCCCAGCCTGCCTGAACTGATGCAGCATCGGTCCCACCTCAGCACTGGTGAACTCTCAGCCTTCCTTCGGGAAGACTCACAGTCCACCGGTGATAATGTGACCCTTTATATCTGCCCCAAGAGAGAAGACCTGGTGTCATTCTTATTTTGACTGTTGATGAGGCTTACTTTCTTTCTTATTGTTTGGATAAAAAGTCAGTAGAAATAAAAGTTGTAATATTTCTTCCTGCAGCCTGGGAGATGTTGCACCTCACTTAGCCAACTATTGCTTTAAGAAACTTGACTCGATGGGCTTCGCATTTCATTGGGTCAACTTCGTAATTGCTACAAAAATGACAATGTAAGTAAGAGTTTGACATCATTAGGAACGCATTCTTCCATAAGAAGAGGAAAAGCGATCTGATTCTCATTCTGTTGTCCTGGCAATAGCAATAAAGGCAGCACAAAATGTGAGTTCCACTTATTTTCCATTGTTCATGTGCCCTTCGATGGGATTTCCCGGCTGACCCTCTTTATTTCATGGAGTCATCAGTTGTTAATTTGCCGTGTACGACGGGTTTCAATGTTGCTACCATTTTATTTCTTTTTTCCCTTTTTCTTTTTCTTTCTTTTTTTTTCTTTTGAGAGTGATGGGAAATAGAGCTACACTTGAATTCCAATCCCATTTGGTGTGAGACTGAGCAACCTGATCCAGCCCAGATCTGACTGTCTTTCACTGGGGTTAGTTTTTGCTTGTGAGAGAACGTTGCTTTAGTTAGCACTATCCGCTGCCCTCCCACCCGAGGAATAAATCACAAACGCAGAAGAAAGCTGCAATCCAGTTGACACACTGCCACTAAATAACTTCATCCTATTTTCCTGGCCCCTTCCCTGCCTGCCCATCTTCATCTTCTATGAATTGATTTTAACTAAATCTATAACCACCCAAAACAGATGGCACTCTTACAATGAGTAGGGCAGGCTGAATCTCTCTGCCCTGGTTGACAGGATTAAAACTGATGAGAAAGTAAAACATGACTTCAAATGTTTGCTTAAGGATCGGAAAGTTGGGCCCAATGCCTTTGTATTGCCAAATGTGACATGGAGCATCGTAAAATCCAATTCTCACATCTTGATGTCCTCCCATTAGATCACATTAAACTCTGGCAGCGAGGCCAGCCCGCCTTGGTGGTTTTCTGAGTTGTGGTTTGCACTTGGCTCTCCTCACAGGCTTTAAAAATGATTTTATTTTGTGAACAGTCAGTGATAGTCAGACTCTAGAGTAAACTTTCCCGGGCCAACATTTGCAGTAATAACATTTCACATTATCAAGAGTTTCCTGAAGGACTGCAAAGAATGAAAACAAAGAAGAGCTTTTCTGGTAGTTGTTTTTCTTCAGATGCTGGTAACCTCCCGCGTGGAGAGGCTGTGAATCTAGGCTTTGAAGAGTCCTCACAAGCATCTACAGTTCTTTGCCTTTAAGGTGAAACTAGAGAACTGGAACGGATTGGGGTTTTCTTGTTCCCTGGCTTGTTGAATATGTAACTGATTCTCCCTTTTTCTTTTCTTGGGTGGTTTCTCTCATTATCTCGTTCAGTGTTTTTGCGGCTGAGAGGTGGAGGGTGGTGGGGAGAGCTTGCCCCAGGGGCAAGGGAGGGAATATTGAGCTTAGGTATGTCCATTTTAGTGTTCCAAATAAGGACTTTCTCAATGCTCTCAGTGTTTTCACCTAAAAGTATTTATACTGCTTGTGTAATGAAATGAGAAACCATCTTTAGAATAAAGCATACAACTGGTTTCTTAGATAGTCTGATGTTGATAGTATTGATGAAAATGATGATTATGATTTTAATGATTCATTAATAAAAAATAAATGAGCTTATGAAATTAAAAGTGAATGTCAGATAGGTACCATTAGCTTGAAGTATTTGAAGATTCAATATTTTTATTATTTTTAAAATTGTGGTAAAATATACATAACATAAAATTTACCATTTTAAACTTTTTTTTTTTGCTGAGGAAGATTTTCCCTGAGCTAACATCTATGCCAATCTTCCTCTTTTTGCTTGAGGAAGATTTGCCCTGAGCTGACATCTATGCCAATCTTCCTCTGTTTTGTATGTGGGACACCACTACAGCATGGCCACCAACTAGTGGTGTAGGTCCATGCCTGGGAACCGAACCTAGGCTGCCAAAGCCAAGTGTGCTGAACTTAACCACTAGGCCATGGGGCTGGCCAAGCCATTTTAACCATTGTTAAGTGTACTGTTCAGTGGGATTAAGCACATTCACATGGTTGTGCAACCATCACACCATCTATCTACAGAACTTTTTTCATACTCCATTAAGCAATAACTCCCCATTCTCCCTCACCTCAGCACCTGGCAAGCACCATTCTGCTTCCTGTCTCTATGAATTTGACTACTCTAAGTACTCATATGAGTGGAATCTTATAATATTTGTCCTTTTGTGACTGGCTTATTTCACTTAGCATAATGTCTTCAAGCCTCACCCATGTTGTAGCATGTCAGAATTTCCTTACTTTTAAAAGCTGAGTAATATTCTCTTATATGTAAATACCATATTTTGTTTGTCTTTTCATCCATCAATAGACGCTTGGTTTTGCAGACTCAATTTTACCAATGGGATTTGAATGACAAGGACTGATGTTTTGGAGAGAACTGAATAGTCATTCAAATTATCTTGGTTTGAAATTCTTTTAAGCCAAGCTAGATGGATAATACTATATCAATCAATTCACCAGCATGTATTTACTAAATGTCACAAGTGACCTCTTTCTTTAAAAAATAGTTATAGTCTTTTATTATTACAAAGATATGTCATTGTGAAAAAAATTAGACAACACAGAAAAGTATGAAGACAAATATAAAGAACATGTAAAATTGTAGCCCTGTTAGTGACTGGATATTTTAGGGGTATATTGTATCAAAAATGATATTAATCTAAATATAAGTGCTATAGATATAGATAAAGGTTTTTGTATTTTTAATAGTTTTTGTTTGTTTGTTTGTTTGTTTTCAGGAAGATTAGCCCTGAGCTAACATCTGCTGCCAATCCTCCTCTTTTTGCTAAGGAAGACTGGTCTTGAGCTAACATCCGTGCCCATCTTCCTCTACTTTCTGCGTGGGACACATACCACAGCATGGCTTTTGCCAAGCTATACCATGTCTGCACCCGGGATCCGAACCAGCAAACCCTGAGCTGCCGAAGCAGAATGTACACGCTTAACTGCTGTGCCACTGGGCCGGCCCATGGATTTTTATATTTTTACAGAACTGGGAACATGTTCACATGCTTACAAACTGCTTTTCTTAATTAGCAATATGTTGGGGACACAATAAATATAGTTTTACTTTGTTAGCTTTTAAATATTTTAAAGTAGTGGTCCTTTCCTTCATATAAACTCTAAGAATACTAATTGGTAAAAAATGGAACATTTCTAGTTAAAGTGGGCAAGAGAAGTCCAGAACACACCAGCTCAGGCCCATCTGTGCCTCTGTAGCGGTTTGTGAGGTACTCCTCAGAAATGCTGCCTCCATTGTGGGTTGAACTGTATTCCCTCAAAGACGTTGAAGCCCTAATCCCCAGTACCTGCGGGTGTGACCTTATTTGGAAATAGACTTTGATGATGATTGATGATCGAGTTAAGATGAGGCGGTAGGGTGGACTCTGATCCAATAGGACTGGTGCCCTTGTAAGAAAGGAAAATTTGGACACAGAGACAGATACACACACAGGCAGAACAGCATACGAAGATGAAGGCGGAGTTCAGGATAAGGCATCGACAAGCCTAGGAACACCAAAGACTGCCGGCAAACGCAAGAAGCCAGAGAGAAGCCAGGGAAGAGATTGCCCCTCACAGACTTCAGAAGGAACTAACCCTGTGGACACCTTCATCTAAGATTTCTAGTCTACAGAACTGTGAGACAATACATTTCTGTTGTTCTAACACATGCAGCTTTTGGCACTTTGCTGTGGCAGCCCTGGGAAACAAATACAGGCTCCCACAAGTATGATTTGAAAACCACTACTTTATGCTATTATTTTAAAAGCCTGCAGGTATTCTCCTGTATGGGGAAGTTGTAATCTACTTAGTCATTCCCTTGTTAAGGTACATGAAGAGTCAGAGTGTCCCGATATTTTAAAGAATGATGCTGGCAACATCCTTTTAGGTAAATCTTTGCATATCTTCCCTATTCTTGTCCTCAAAATAAGTTGCGAGAGGAGGAATTATTACAGTAAGTGATAGGAACATTTGAAATTTTAATACTTAGTGCCAACACGCTGTCTAGAAAGCTCGTACTAATTTATTCTCTTACCTGTAGCATTGGGAGGTAGACATTTCTCTACATCCTTACTGGGTATTGTTCTTTCTTTTTTAAAATCTGAATTTAATTTTAATTCTTATCAAAGTAATACATGCAGGTATATAAATAAGTGAATGAGTTTTACAAGACTTACAACAAAACCCAGCAGTCCTAGCCACATCCCTTTCCATCCCTGCCACACCTCAGTGGCACCACTTTCAATTCTTCAACTGTTTCATCTGGTTTTCACATTTATGTTTCTAAATAACGTACTTATGCTATTTCTTTTTCTTTTTTTTGGTGAGGAGATTGGCTGTAAGTTAACGTCTGTGCCAACCTTCTTCCATTTTTGTATGTGGGATGCTGCCACAGCGTGGCTTGATGAGTGGTGTGTAGGTCCACACCCAGGATCCGAACCAGGGAACCCCGGGCCACTGAAGCAGAGCAAGTGAACTTAACCACTATGCCACTGGGCTGGCCCCATGCTACTACTTTTAAAAAATTTTTTCTATTTTAGATATTATCTACTGACTTATTATGGAACATAAGGAATTAACTCTCTTATTTAAACTACCCCTCTCCCACCCTATTCTCCCAAACGGGTTATATCACAATTTTAGTAAATCAATATTCAGAGTTTATATTTTACATTATTACGACCATATATACATTATTTTCAGCTGAGTCATATAGTGTACTATAATTTAATTATTTTTCTTAAATGACTCTCCCTCCCCAGAATTCATAGTTAACTTATTTTTTTCTTTGCTTAATTTTCTAAGTACCTATTACTAATTCCTATGAAAACTCTGCCTGAAGTCCACATCCCTTCTCAATATATTCTAGCACCGTTCTATCAGTTTCATTATTTTTTCTTGGAATTATCCTTCTTGTAGTCATTCAGCCTCCTGCTCTTTACTCTCTCTGTCTGCTGCACATCTGTCAGCCTAGATTTTCGTTCACCATCATTCTAGAGCTTCCCTTTGCCTCTCTCCTGTATTGGGTCACCTGTTTCCTGGATCATATGTCTTCCTGTTTCCTGATTTGCTGCCTTGCTGTGGTGGAGTAGTTCCTACTGAAGAGTTACAAGAGAGGCAAAACACTTCACTTGAATGGGAATGTTCCTTATGATTCATCGAAAGCATCATATAGGTTTTTGGTGGTATCTTCCACCAAGTTGCTTAAGAACAACTTTTCTTATCAGGAATAATTGCTGATTTTAGCAAGTGCCTTTTCATATGTAATGAGATAGTAATATAATTTTTCTCTTTCAAGCTCTTAGTGTAGTGAATTACACTAATAGACAAATGTTAAACTATTCTAGCATTTCTCTGAAAAAGACTACTAGTTCGTGATGTAATTCTCTTAATGTACTGTTGTGTTAAATTTCCTAATATTTTATTTGGGACTTTTGCCTCTATTTGTCTTTGGGATTTTTGTTTTGTTTGTGAGTGGTTTTTTCCCTCTATTTTTATCTGATTATGATTCAGTGTTATGCTATATTTGTAGAATGAACTGAAAACTTTGCATCTCTTTCT